TTTATTTTTGCGTTTTTTAAGAACTTTGAGACCTACAGATGGCAGATACTAGGAACAGTTTAATATTAGTGGTAGTGTTTTAATGTTTCCAGGGAGCACTTGACCCTCCACGAAGCTGCTAGGGAGAGGAGCTGGGCAGAAACCCAGTGGCCCATTGCAGGTTCCTCCAGATCTGTGCCACGCTCGTTAGACCACCTACTGCTGTGGCTACGTTAATACTGAATGGCAGAAACCAAAGGTAGTGACAAAGTTTGTGGCACGAGTAGTTCTGGTGCTGCTAACGGGGGAGGAGAGCCCACCACCCCCTGAGCCTCCAGAGCCGCTTTCCTGTTCTGCTGGAGTATGGGACTCCGGGAGGAAAATATGGAAGCCAGGTAGCAGATGATCGAAACTTGGTTATTGCAGGACGTAAAACTGGGGCACTACGGCACCTTCAAAACATTCTTCAATCCTTGGTGATTCGCTTCCTTACACAGTACTAGGCCTTCTTTGGACTGTATCTATTTTCATCCTAAAGAAAGGAACATCTAATATTGCAGATAAGATCCAAGGACGCCACAGCAGGTAGCCATACACAATTGATTTTCTTGCTTCCTTACATTCAGTGCTGCTCCACTGGCAGCTACTGATACAAGTCTTGGAACTAATCTTCAGGCCACTCTTGCCTCAATAAATCCACTATTTTGCTATTTTGTAAAGGCCCCTAGGAAGCAGAGAGCCTGCGCTACCCCTTGAAGAAGGGTGACAGTGAACTGCTAACGTAGCATGGGATTGAAAGGAAAAGAATCCATCTCAGCTCCTTCTCCTTTCCTCTTGCATTCCCCGCTTACATTTCTAGCAAGGCTTTGCCCTGAAACAAGCTTCTTTTTCTGGCATTTCTTCTGCTCAGGGTTTTGAAGGTTATTTTAATGCAGACTGTAATGTAAAGGTGTAGGCCACAAAGGAAGTTCTGAAAAATATTTAGTTCAGGACTAGTTGTGGAAGAAAAGATGAAGGGAACAAGATGTACAGTTAACTAGGACACAACAAAAATGCTTCCACAAACGCAGGGTTAAAGAACGTCATTAGAAAAAAGTCTTTTGGGACTGATTTTTCTTTGTTTTCCTAATAGTTATAAAGGCCTGTAGAGTTTTAAGATGAACATGCATCAAAGAATTTGTGTTTGGTAGGTATGCGTTTTTATTGACTTTGCCTGTGTTCCACATTTCAAAGAGCCGAATTGGGGCTTTTTTTGTGTTCACATGACCAGCAAGTTATACACAGATACCACACGAGTATTCAGATCTTACTTCGAAACGCAGTATAGAATGTATTAGCAACGTGTGCCTGTGTGGCTGTCTTGCATTAAGATAAAGGGAGAGAATAATGCTGCTGGGGAATTATGTGCACAAAGCTCTGTGAAGCAAGAATTAAAAGTAATGAGATTAAATAGAAAATAACTACATCAGGAATATGTTAATAATTTAATTAAAGTCTACCAAAGTTGAAGTATTCCACAATTAAGGTTGAAGCCTATCAACACGCTCTGTTCTACTTGGGGACTTCTGCCACAGGTAAAATTACCTGTCTGGAAATGTTTCTTAACGTACAACAAAAATGGGTTGAACTAAGAATGTGGTATGATCATTAACTTTGACAACGTTGAACTTTGCTGTTTTCTCAGACAGGCTTTTACTGATGTTTTAATATATGTTTTCCTTACTGCAGTCTCGTTTTCTAGTGCATAAGATAAACATGAATATTGATCCTTTTGAAAAACAGGAGGGCAAGATTTAATGCTCTTTTTTTCCCCAGTTTGTTGAGTGGGTTTTCATCTTTATATAACTTTCAAGTCAAACAGAAACATGGAACAAAAGGTTACTGAGTAGCAGAGCGCAAGGCAGCACAAAGACGATCACTATGAAGGGCTTAGCACCAAAGATTAGTCTGGCACATCAAGGAAACAATTATATAGATCTTAACAGATCTTTTACATTATCCTTTTATACTACCCTATAACTTTTTACCCAATCCACAGAATGGTATAAAAAATAAGTAATATTCTTTCTAGAGTAGCAGATATTGTTAGCTGTACCAGGCAAAGCCAACATCTTTCCCATGAGGCACCCCTGCCTTCATACTGTTTATCTTGTAGGAGAATGCACAAAACACAGAAAATACCTCCTTGTCAACGTCTGTGCCTGCAACCCCTTGCGAGACCACATGCAACTTCGTTTTCTGCAAAACCAACTCAGGTTGACGCTCTAAAGTGAGAGTGCACCATCACTTTAGAGGCCCAGTACCATAAAATACGGAAAATCTGATTTTATCAGTAGGTTCACGCAGTGAATAAGATCAGAACCTTCTTTTTCTCCAGTAGCAGTTAAAACTGCACATAGTGAAAAGACAAAGCGTTGTTTGCTGCCCAAAACAATGGAAGACAAACTTCGTTTTTTCTCGCGTTGTTTTTTTCATTACACTTTCCTACTGAGTATAATGCATATGTGGACTTGGAGCTTGTGAACAAGGTGATTGCACTTATATGACACTGTGCCCTAACAACTGTAAAGGGTTGTACTTGAAACGTACACTTCTCAAGGTGATAAGACATTGAGTTGTATATAAAACAGTCAATATCCTGAGCCACAATACAGAATTTCACATAGCACTATGGTGGTACCTCCCATAGTCAAGCACAGCCTACTATACAATCCTGGCAAGTCAGAAAGTCTCCAGAAAATAAATAAATAATTTTTTTTCATTCAGATATAGTCTGAGTACATGGCAAATATAGGACAATTCTATTCTGCTTGTAGCAAGCAAATGCCCATTAAAGAAGTGCCCTTTAAAAATTGCTGGTGATGGTGGTACACGTTGACACTCTCAAGAAAAGAAAAGGGCATGGGCGTGTGCTGAAGGGACAGTCTGGTCCTGGATCCAGACTGGTGTATGCAGCTACTCTTCCCTTGGGCACACACTTACAACAAGAAGACTAGTGCTTCACTTAAACCTAAGGTGGCAGATAAAAGGGCAAAATCTTGCGTTTTTTGTGTTGAAGACCTTGGATTTTGCCCTTCCTGGTGACAAGTCTGTGTGCCCATGCAGGAGATTTTTAGTCTCACTTCGAGCGTTCATCACTGCATTCCTGGTGTTCTGCATATGCAATTACGTTGGGAAATTCTCTTTTAAAACCGTCAATACGATCCCATTACAAGCACTGCATTTTTATGAGGGAGGAAAGGAGAAAGACAAATGTTACTCCTGGTCGTGAATTTGCCTCTCATCGTTTCCCCTCTCTGCTCTACAGAGAGTTGTTTGATCCATATTATGGGTTATTTGGGCCACTTTTACGTGGAGAGAGAAAATAATGGTAACCTAATTTGAGATTTGTACCAATTTAAGTAAGAAAATGAATTCTGAATATTTTGCATAGTTGCTAAATTTAACTGAGTGTTCAGTGAAGCGAGTATCCAAATGTGAATAAGAGGCTTTAAACCGTTTTCCCCTATTTGTTTTTAAACTACATTTTTTACTTATGATTAGCAATTTTATGCCGTTCGTATGCAGTATGCTGAAACGGAATTCAATAAACTGACCTTCTTCCACCTATTAAACTAAACTTGGTATTTAATTATTGTGCATGCAAAGTCAAGCAGAACAACTAAGGAGCATTTGTAAATAAGATCATTGAGTTTTATTTGTGATGAATAGGAATATTTGTGGTTAATACTTTTCATAAGAAATTTATTAGTGCTTATTTTGAATTGGAATACAGAAAAGATAGAACATCTGTATCAAAGTTTAAAAAACACAACAATCAAAAGCTGTTTAATTTCATTCATTTAGTTCTACTGCGCAGTCTGTTCAGTGTAACTTTTTACAACATACTGTGCAAGAAAACAGGTCATTTAAACTCAGTAATTAGTATTACAGATAAAATGACACTGCAGCAATGTTAATTACTGTAGTACTGATGTAGTATAGGATATAATACATAATAGTCATGTCTTTAATTTTAAATTGAAGTGCAACAAAGCATATTATTGCTACACTTCCTGCTCTTAAAGTAAATGAATGTTATTCAAGTGTGCTGTTTGTATCCATGCAGAATGTTTTTAAATAAATCACAATTCTACTTTAACTCCAACTGGCATATTTCACTTTCTAATGGCATAAATTAAGGAACTTCTTGCTATAGGAACTTTTCCTATGATGGTGGAAATTATGACAGAATTATATTCCATATGAAAAATTTCCACAATCATTTTCATTACAGAAGCTGTAAATCAGTTTGCAAATGAAGCACGACGTTCAGTCTTTTTTAAAATAAAGACGAATCTTGAAGAGCGTTACAGCTATGTGAGGTGTAGTAGGAACTAGAGATATAGGATTAAATTGTAATTAATTCTGTACTGCTACGGCTAAAATATCTGGCAATTGTGAACATAAAATATTCGTAATGAAACAGAGACTTGCAGAGGAGGACAATGAAAGTTTTTACCTGCACCTCCAGTAGGAGTAGGGCTCCCTACTTATGAATAATTTTATCTCTGCTTTTTGCAGCACCTTTACTTTTGGATGACTTTGTTATAAATATTAAAAGAAGGAAAAATGAGTTAAATTTCAGATTTGTTCAAGTGTTCTTAAATAATTTATGTCAGTTGAAATGATGCCATTTTCAGTGCAGAAATTTTGTAATGAAGCTGTTATTCAGACCTTGCATGAAAATACTCTAAAAGCCTGCTTATTTAGAAGTATAATAATCCTGTTCACTGTGTTAACCATGTGCCCCTGGCTAAAATATGTACATATGGATTTAGCAAAATATTTGAATATACAGTGTAAGATTCAAAGCAGAAGTTGAAGTATAACCTCAGGTTGTGCATTTCATCTCACGACAATAATATGTGTTGCTACATTTAAATGAAGGTGTGTAGAGCAAAATCTTGAACGACATATAACTGGTTTCTAGGATTTGCAAATTATTTTGAAAAAATGCTTTCCCCCCTCTTTTTGCTTAGGTCAGTGGGACGATGTATAATACAGGAAGACATGTATCTCTACGATTAGACAAAGAGCACTTGGTCAACATCTCTGGAGGACCGATGACATACAGTCACCGCTTAGAGGAAATCCGGTTACACTTTGGAAGTGAAGACAGCCAGGGATCAGAGCACCTACTCAATGGACAGGCTTTCTCCGGGGAGGTATGTCAATGTATTTGGAATTACAAATGAACCTGTATGAATTACTCACTTTCCATTTCTGCCTGAAGGTATTTGCAAACTAATTTGTACTCATAAAAACTGTTTCCCTGTATCCATTCTGAAAATCAGGGAATTACTTTTTTTTTTCCTCCCATGCACTGCAACTTGTGTGACTCATCTGAAAATGAAACCATTGTATTTATTGTATGTATAGACACCCTATGTTCTCATATGCCCTGCTTAGAAAGAATCAAGTATCTTTGGATGGGTCCTTTATATCCCTAGTAAACACAAATACAAAATCAACCACCAAGTAATACTGAAAGTGCTTCAAGTTCTTATAAAAGTGCTACTTTTACTACTCACTGGTGCATAACACTTTACATCAAGTATCATTCTGCCTTTGATTCATGTAAAAATAAGGTGATACTTAATTTTAGAGATGGTTCCGCAGAAGTCTGTTGGTCTGCCCAAGAAATAGTCAACTCCCCAAGTAAACCCTGGCAGAACTGGTGCTTGCTTTGTATTGCAAATACATGTCTGTAATTGTCCCAGGAAAGACCATAATTTAATGATCCTGATAGCTATTGCAGGATGGTCCATTACTCTTGCTGGATAAATATTTTAGTCTCATACATGGAGTACTTTTTCAAGATGTATAGTAAAGTTTGCAGACTTTCTAGTAGACAAAGCAGAATCTTTCCATTCTTCTTATGTAGGAGCAGTCCTACATAGGAGAGATGCGTGGGTTTTGTAGTACCCCATCCTTCTTCAGCTTGTGCCACCTCTGTGAACTATCTAGCATGCAACTCTACTCCACAAATCTTAACAAAAAAAAATAATGCTTCAGAATAACTGTATATTACTCTAGGGATTATTTTAAAAACACTCTAGGTATCCCTGTTACCGTCCTTTCAGAAGACCAAAATGAATCGTTTTTCATAATAAAGCACTTATTTTCTTGAAGATGAATAACCAAATTACCATCTGTACAAGCTCTCACAGACTCTGGTGATGAGTCAGTTAGCACAGGGCATTTTCTTTGTCAGTGTGCAACAGCAGTTATTTAAGAGTAGAAAATTAATTGCAGAGTTGTCAAATAATGGAATTACAGTTGATGGTAATCATTTGCTCTGTTTCATGAGCTACATATAGGTATGATATAGCCAGTGGCAGATATTTCTTTAAATTGTTGATGTCTTACATAACTGACTTCTGGTTGCCTTTGTTAAATTCTGTAACAGAACATATGATCTATTACTACTTTAAGAGCTGAAAGTTAAGTGTGCTGTAGTAAGTAACGTCTTTGCTTTGCTGTTCAGATTTACAGAAGAGCAATATTCAAACAAAAGCAAGTTGACTGAAAAAGACAGAAAAATCTGGTTGAAACATACCATTGCACTTGATATACTGGAATATTTTCAGCTATTTTTAAAAGTTTTTAAGTTACAGATTGTAACAGAAGGTAAAAATGTAGAGCATTGTTTCATAATACTTAATGTTAATACCTAACTAGACTCTTCTGGCTTTGGAAGTAGGAGTTTTGAAGCACTCTTAATATTTTGTATTTGCTAACAGAGACCTCAAATTTTTCTTAATAAAAGTGGAAAACCTAGCTAAGCGGAAACCGCTGACAGTCAGTCAGTCGTGCACAGCTGGATCTGCAGTATGTACGGGGTTCATCTAGTTATCTGAATTCCTCCTGCAGTGAAGAGAAAGATTAGCACCTTCAGAAGATGATCATTCCTGATAGCCAGGGACACGTCTCTTAGGGCAGGACAAATCACTGTGGAGATGCGTCCGCCTTGACAACAGAGCAGAGACAAACAACAGGCCAAGTGGCTTAGACTAGAGATAGAGAGATGAATTCTGTCCTTTGAGGATGTGGTTTTCAAAGTTTCAGGTAGCTGTTTTGGGCAGCTGGACAGGTAAGTTCCAATAAGGTGAAGTATTAATTACCAATTTGAACCTCCATCTGCACAGTTAAGTCTTACTTATAGAGCACGTACTATTTCCAAAGCACAAGCACAGCTTCAGATCAATCATGCTGCAATTTTTCAGTGAAGGACAGCAGTTGACATTCTTAGAATATACATCCACCCATACAAGTGCTGTCTGTATAAATAACTGATTTTCTGTAAGCTTTCAGCACTGGAAGATGTAATGTCTACAGCTCCCAGCAACTATAGTAAGAAAACTGACGTTACGATAGAGCACGTGTTTTTGTAACGTAACGTATGCTTTCAAGACTGTTGCTGCTAATTACTATTCACTTCTGCATTGGATCATGCTGTCAGAGGAGATGGGATAATGAAAAATAACTGTGTAAGTGCATTAGTTTTATTTAGCTGGTGCAGGTAAGGATAGCCATGAATATTTGCTGGCTTAGGCTTCAGCAAGTGTAGGCAACCAGCGAAAAATCACGGCAGGATTACACAGTTTGACTACTAATTGCGTGCTAACTCCCGAGACAGCGCCGTGTTAGTGCTGTTCTTACTTGTGTTGGACAAACCCACTATGGGTTTTACTGAAACCTCTGTTTTGCTGTGGAAACAATTCCCAAGGATGAAGTTACCCAAGCAGCACAATCCGTTCCAGTAGATCACAATCAGATTATTCCCACTCCTCCTTCCCTCCGCTCCCATCCGTATCTGTCCCGTCATTCTCACTGAGGTCTCCAATGCATGTCTCTGCACGTTGCAGAGAGATAAGGGGAACCTGGGGAGAGGTCAGAGAGAGAGCAGTACCTCTTCCTTACAGCACCAGGAAACTATTAGATTGGCTCAAACAGACCTATGTTAAAACCAAGTTCAGACAAAGCAGAAGCTTTTAAACAGCCCCAATATATCTTGAATCAGCTGCAATGTTTTTTACACATCAGGAAATCCCACCTAACAGCCATACTAAGCAAGAATTTCATTCTTAGGGACTTATTTTGCATAGTGAAGATGTTCTGCAAGCGGGCAGGTACTCTGAGCAAGCTAGAGAGCACTGGAGTGGTGCCATGGGCATGAAAAACAATCTAGAAATAGCAAATTGCTTCAAAATGTACTGTGGTCTGAACGATACTGAGAGGCTTGTAATTTCCAGGCTTTAACATTTAACTAGGTGTTAAAGGCTGTCAAGAGAGATCTCTACAATAATCTGGTTACCTTTTAGCCCCTAATTATCACTTTAGTAGGCAGAATAACTGAACTAATGCTTAAATAGTTTGAGTGTAAGGGCTTTAAAACTGTGTATCAGGTTATCATCAATATGTTTGGAACTGCTAACATGGAAAGAAAAGCAGGCTTTGGAACGATTAAATAAATAAAACCAGCATTTACTTGTCCCTCTGATAGATACTTGAGTGTGTTTAATTCCCTACTCTTTGCGCAAGCATCCTACTGTATTATAATGATTAAAAGAAAATCTTGGCTTGAGCAAAGACCCCAGCTAAGACACCGGTTATTTGTGTCTGATACCTAATGTCTCTGTGCAAAACAGTTTTTAATGCTTCAGAGTCCATGTCATTTAACAAAAAAAGACCATCTTCCTTTCAGACAGTCCTTTCAGCGGTACAAAACCCAGCAGAATTTACCAGAGCGGTGTTGTTCAGGCACCGTTTACCATGTTAAAATAAAAAGGTAACAACCTGCAAAAGGTTCACGGTGAGAACGGGACCCTTTAACTTTACCATGTGGCAAAGTGATAAAAATCCATACCAGTTTTTTTTTTTCCTAAGCAGAAAAATGAAAAATGTGCTGCAGGACACCTCGGCCCGCTTTATGGCTGTGCGCTGAAGTAGCCTTATCAATGTAAAGGCAGAAGGCCAAGGAGCTTAATTATTTGGGGTTATGCACTTTTCACAAACAAAATGGATTGGAGAACTTTCAAATGAGAGAGAGACTGTGGGTAACAACACATGAAAAATAGAGATTATTTCTTCTCTGCCCACCAAGTCACCCTTTGAAAACCCATTGACAGAGATTACAAGCGCACAATGACTTTGTCTGCTACATAAGAATTAAAATGAAAGCCAGAATAGTGTCCAGATAAATTAATAGATATTGCAAGCTATACACACAGTTTGGAACTGAGATTTACTTTTGCTGCTGCGAAAAGACACTAAAGAAAACTGGATAAAATACAAGAAAATGGGAATCAAAGGGGGAGGCTGGAAATTCTGAAATACCAGCCTTCTCCTACTGCTGCAATTTCTTTAACTGCAGGCATATTCTATGAGTGGGGAACCTCTAGTGATAGTAAAGGATTACTTATCAAAGATCAGTGTTGCAAATCCAACTTCTGATATTTTTAGAAGCAGGACTGTCAGAGAGACAGCCTATGAGAAGCATCCGGCCAGCTGGAATAATTTAATCCAGCCTGCTGCAGAATTAGAGTAGTCTGAATTGTTGAATCAGAAACAGTGGCTCTGTCACTGAGACCTCCTGTACACCTTTGATTTGCGTGTGTCAGTCGAAAGAGCCTCCCCAAAAATCCTAATGTTGGTATTTATACCAACTCCCACCGAAAAAAACCAACGCAACAAAACACAACCAAAAAACCTTTACTGGAATGAAGTCACGTATACGTACTATGACTTTGTCAGCAAAACAGAACAAAACGAGGCACCAGTTAGCATATCAGAAGAAACAGCAAGTACAGACCAACTCTGGATTGGCTTGTTACAAGCCATTTCCATCTCCTCTTGATAAAACCCCTGTCTTCTTCCCCAAAACTTGGTCACTTAGGAGGTGAACGTTCAGTAGCACCTCCCAAGTGACATTTGGCTCAGGACTCTGCCTCCTTTTCTAACCTCTGAGTCACTTCTGCACAAAAGTGACTTCTTTTTCTCTTCACACCTCCCTACACTTACCCAATATTTAGATTCCTCTCCCAGGTCTGTTTTTCTGGTTTGTTCTCTGCAGGAAGCCTCACTGATCTAAGGATTTGTGAGTCTAGCATGGCTCTTCACCAAATTGTGCTGGCACCGAGTGTTTCCTCTTCCTCAGGAAAGG